ACCTTTTTTGCTTTTTCGAGAATTGATTCATATGTCTAGATAGAAATGTTTAACATCTTGGAGCTAGTTTTGGGCAATAGAGAAAAGTTTTTCCACACAGGGGCATAAGATTAAATTATATTATACAATAGTGCTTTCATTTGTAGAATTATTTTTACTTTATCACTTGCAGATTTACAGATAATGGTACTCGCCATCTTGCGGTAGAGACTTGAAGTAAAACAATATAAAATTCAGTTTATGTTCGGATATCATTCAAATTGGCTTAAAATCGGTAGAATGATTTTAAAAGTAAAGTCAATCAGCGGTAAAATAATTTGAAACATTTTAAGGGCTAACAGGGGGCTTAATTATTTTTCATTTTTCAATAACAGTGCTAGGCTGTAAAAGTGAAAAAAAATTTTTTTTTTCAGGAACACACATGATAGCCCTTTTTAAAAATTTTGTTCGATAGCCAATTGGCCATGGTCGCAACCAAAAGCTAGCCATAAGATGAACTGTAGCTACTTATACATATAGCAAAGTGAAATTAATTTATCGAAAATGATAAAAAATGAATACTAAATTTTAGAAATTTGTACACACAAGTAGCTACAGTTTATCTTATGGCTAGCTTTTGGTTGCGACCATGGCCAATTGACTATCGAACAAAATGAAATCAATTGGGGTACCATCAATTAATGCTTGCTCTTGGATTTCTACGACAGGTAGCTTAGATATGCGTATAGCTTGCGTTGAGGACCAATAACCTCATTATTATTATACTCAATTGTTTCTAAGTATCTAACTGGACAAAACACTTTCAAATAGGGTTGTGAAAAGGGTTATCATGTGTGTTCTTGAAAAAAAAATTTTTTTTTTCACTTTTGCAGCCTAGTACTGTGATTGAAAAATGAAAAATAATTAAGCCCCCTGTTAGCCCTTAAATAGTTATTATTCGTTCATAAGGCGATCATTGATATTAAGCATTTCTATCGGGGTGAATAAATTAATAAAAATAGCAATTCTGTTTTCTTTTAATATTGAATAATAACTAATAAATTTGTAACAAAACTTATTCGTCATCGCGTGCAGCACGTTTGCCATATGCTCTCTCGATATCGTTACTATCCGCGCGTACGGAGCCGAGAAATTGCGCGCCTCGCAACATCGAGAGCATCGAGAGATTTAAATGCCAAAAGTGTGTTACCGGCGATGTATCATTGTCGTTATTATCTCCGCGAGTATACGCACGGGCAAGTATAAATTGTTCATATGCGAATAACATTTTTTCGCCCGACGTTATCGAGAAAAATATATATATAGAGAAATGATTTATCGTCGACTCGCGCGTGTGCCCGCCACGATTGCGACAAAAAGCGGCGGTATCGCTGCGAGCTGTTCAATTTCCTGCGCGGCGCGGAATCAATTTCGTAGCTTTGATTCATTTCAGACGCGCAGCCATCATCGTAAATGCCACTATAAATTCCGACTTTTTGCACAAATTATTCTTTTCCCGCGCGCGCGCACCGCGTCGTATCATACAAAAGTTCATTGGTTCTAATGGGTTTTTAACAAGTTCATAAAACGACGACTATCATCTTGACGACAAAAAAATAAAAGAAGTTTCACCGATTACTTTACTCTGAAAAAGGTTATAATCTGCGCGGAATCGGGCAAAATTACTCTCGGACCTTCCCGGTATAAGTGAAAGATCTCATAACACTTTTCTCAAGTACATCATGAAATTCCTCTCGAGTTTCCGAGCTGACACACACACGCACAAGCCTTAACTCGATGTTTTTCTCCGAGAGCCAAACAAGCTCGTCGATGGTTTCGTTGAAGTCTATACAACAGCGATCGATGTTTATTTATAATAAATCTGCAACGCGGCGCTTTTCTGCATGGGCAAAATTTAATGCATGTAAGTGTTCCGCACGAAGCGTACTTTAACGCGTGTATCGCGTTACAAGCGCTAGGCATAAACACATATGTGTTTTTCTCTAGCTGCCGGCGTTGAACTGTGCGCAGAGCCTCAATATGCGGGTGCGATTATTTTATTTTTTTGGTTTTTGAGATTTTTTTAAAACTTACGTCGCATGTGCAACAAGTTATTTGTGCCGATATAAGCCAATGAAGAAGGTCGCGCGGAAAACGATGCCACAAAATTATCGCTCGGCAATAATGTGTAGGCCTCGACGCCGCTGGGGGGAAAAAGAAACCCATCCATCATCATTTTTGTTGTAAATTTTGCGCCACGACGACTGGTGCAGAATAATTATCCCGCTTGGCGTGTTTATATTTATAATGAGAAATTTTATACATAGTTGCGTATATCAGAGAAATCAATTTTTTTTCTCCACGATCGTTTGAAATAATAACGTTCAAGATTGAAATTAAGTCATTATTGTTTTCTTGCTCATGGACTTTTTATTAAAAATTTCGTGGATTCTTTTCCGCCAAAATCGTTTATGAAGGATAGAAAGTTTAAAGAATGATGCTTCGGTGCTCGCAGTGATTGATTAAGACTGATTTTATTTTTGAATGTATTATAAAACAAGATTTTTCAAAAAGCTGTCGCGAAGCAAAAAGTTTCTTTGTTTTTTTAAATTTACTCCTTCAATCTTTTCATATTTTTTTATTTATACCACTAATCAAACGGAGATAACAAAACAATAATTGATGAAAAATAATTAATTTTATTATTATAATAGTATTGCTAAATAACTGATTAATAAGTGATGGACCACAAAGTGAAGCCCCTAAAAATGACTTCAGATGCATCGAATTTACTTTCGACTTAGGTCAATATTGAAAATAGTGACATCTAGAGTTAAAATAGAAACTTTATTAAAGTACCACTAAAAAATTGATGAAGCTACTATGTAGCATAATGAGTGACATATTATAATATATCTTACAGTTGCCCCATTGATTGTAGATGTCGCATCATCAACACCCACAAGTAGTCAAATCAACTTTGGATATATTAAGAGAAAATGTAAATGTACATCCAGTTTAGCCAGAATTCGGAAAATATGAATGTATACATAAGTAATATTTTCTTTTCCCTTCCCCCTAGCGTTTTAAGCCCTACTCTGTTTTTGAAACGAACTTGGCTCACCAGAGAAGCCGCAGCGCCTCGCGTGAAAGAAAAAAGAAAAATATGTTGAAGATGAAATGTGGATCAGCGAAATTCTGTACGGACCACTTATTCCAAGCCTGAGTAGGTATTATCTGCTCGGTAGATCATCACGAGCGAACTGTTATAGGCGAGAGATCATACTTTTTGCCGCAACATTGATAATTTCATAATTACGCGCGGGCGGATAAACGAGAAACACGATATCGGCTCGGTGGTATTATTTACCTTTCAGCTGCTTTTGAATTATTAACTAAGCAATCGCTTATAGTTCACCTTAAATTTACGATATTATTTTTAGTATTTCGAGTGGCTCGATTAAAAAAAAAAAGATTATTATTGTATGATTTTCAATTTTTATTGTACAATTTAAATCGTTTAAATTTCAAACACGTGCAACCTCATTTTTCATGGTATCAAAATCAACTTCGCCGAAAGGCTAATTCATACCCATGATAATCAATTTTTAATTTGAATATTATTCCAAAGAATTTCACAGCTTTTCCTTCGTATTTAATACATAATGAAGCAACGCTTAAATAAAAGATCCTAACATCATGAAAAATTACTTTCGTTGCACTTCGTTGCGGGACCGATTTGAAAATATAATACACTTTCAAAAACGCAAAAGTTTGTAATATAATGTGGATCGATGATGCTCTCGCGACGCTCTCTATCCGCTGACACTAATTACAGGTTTCACTTGCGCGCGCTGGCATTTTTCGATAGCGAAATCTCGTAACGATCGCAGCGACGGAATGAGCTTTGTCTTCGAAATTCTAAGATTTATAACACGTCCCTTAATATTCATCAATACCGCTGTACCGAGTATATATAATGAAAAATCGCTCGAACGCGCGCTGTACACATCTACGTCATATTATACAAAAGATCAAATCCGAACTTGCGTGTCATTCCAGAAATCTAGCCTACATGCACCAGAAGCATGAAGCCCCTTTTAGCGCTGCAGACACGCACAGGCACACGTTATCATCATCATCATCATCATCATCAGCATCTGCAGTAGCATAACACATCGACAATAATCCGTCTATATGGGTTATAAAAATGTGTGTATGCGTGTACGTGTGCACACGTACGTAGTCGCGTTCCTCAAAACATTAATTACACCCGCGCGCTCGGAAAGGTTTCACCTCGCGCAACAATTAGCCCAGCAGCACGCAAAAAAAAGCAGCAGCAGCAGATGCAGATGCATAGAGGAGGTGGTGGTGGTGGCGGCGGCGGCGGCGGCGGCTGCAGTGGATGGCCAGCGGCCAGCTCTAAAAACTACCGTTTATCTAGCGAGCGAGGAGTAGCGCACTTATCTAAATCAGTTAGCGAATCGTGCGCACTTGTACGTATATACGCGAGCGCGCCGAGTATTATGACGTAAAAAGGAAGGAGGTCCGTATCTTTCTCTCTCTCGCGCTCGCTCGCGATATACGAACGCGGATGCTGCTACTGCCGAGGCGTTGGCTGTTAGCTAACTATGTATATATGTTACTGCTGGCTATATCCACTGCGCATGCATGTATGCATATATACCTACTGTATACTAGGCCCCCTTACGCGAGCTCGCTAATTCACGCTCTGTAAAGCTTCGGAACTCGTCTAATTGTGCGGCTTGGCTTGCTTCTCCGCGGACGTGTTACTCTGTATATTACGTGCCTCTTCTACTTCTTTTACGTTGCTGTTGTTGTTTTCCGTAGCTGCTGGACGTTGGGGAGCAAGCGCGCGTGTGTGGGGCAATTTCTCTACCTGCCTACCTACTACTATGTATGCGCATAGGCGGCCAGAGCATCGGCAGTATAACGCATTATAATAAAGCGCGGTATAAATGAAATTGTCGGTTCGCGCCCGCGGCCAGTTTACCACGAAGATGCTGCCCAGGCTCGTACTCTGCCTGGCCTGCTGTGCCGCGCTCGTAATAGCCCAAGACCAACAACAGGCAGCCGTCGACGACAGCAACAATGTTAACGACAATAATAATCGACAACCACCGATAACGACGACGCCGATGAGGCGACGTTTTCTTGTGCCGAGAGTGAGATCGTTGTCGCCGTCGCCGGCCGTAGTCGTCGCCGCTACGAGTGCTAATAATAATGAGGTGCGACACGACGATGTTGATAATAATAATAACGATAATAGGCCCTGTGTTGGTGCTTGTGCCTTGTCTCGGCGACGCTCCATCGTCGCCAATAATAACGTCAATGTCGTCGAGGCGATGAGCGTCAGGAATGATAGTAGTGGTGTTGTTGTGGCGACCGGCAGAGCTGCTGCTACCGATGCCGAGGACGACGATCGAGACGACGACGACGATACGGCTGTAGAAGAGGGTGAGTCGCAATAGACAATCACTAGTTAAATCGCGGTTTGTGATCCTATTGTGGTTTCGATTTTTGAGCTTCGTAAATATAAACTAGTTATTTCGTTAAAGAAAATATATCGATATAGTAAATTTCTAAACAAACGTCGATTAATCTAAAACTAGAAAATCATTTAAATCCGTTAAAACGTATAAAATAGAAATGAAAAAATGTATCTCGATGACGTACCGAATATCTCGCATCGATATATTAATAATTTGCATACAAAGGCTGGTAGGCGGTATCTAGGCCAATGCATCGGTGTATCAGTTCTACCAAATAAGTATCTAGGTCATTTGTTCTATATCCCCACTGGCTTCTATAACCATCAATTATTTTACCAAGCTCATCCGCATGCTTTTATGTAAAATCCAAACCGTAAATTCCACTCGTACAGCAACGCAACGGCAACCGCAACGCGATTTTCTCCCGTCGATCGATAGCAATGATAATAATGAAAAAAAATGGATCACGTTTACTTCCGCAGGCCGAGGCAAGAAGAAGAAGATGAAGGGCATGGGCAAGTACATAGTGGCGTTCGCCGGATTCATGAAGGCCGCCCTGCTCTACATGAAGATCCATCTGGTGGCGATGCTCGCGGGCAAGGCCCTGGTGGTGGCCAAGGTCGCGCTGGCCATTGCGCTCGCGGTGGCACTGAAAAAATCGTCGGGTGAGTGACACAGCCGCGTGGAATTTTTCGAAACTTTTGATTGAAGTCCTTTTCTTTTTTTTTTCAATTTTTTTTTTATTTTGCGTTAATCTCGTCGTCGTTATCATGTTGTCATATCTATCGTATATTATAAAACTGTCGTCATTGAATCATTTACAATGTGTAACAAATGTTGTTTTATTTTCATATACTCGTGCACTCTTTTGTTTGGAGTTTTTGCGAAATAAAGAACGATCCATAATAAACTCATCCATGTTAACTCATCCATTCATAAACTCATTGAACACCACAATGATATTCTTGAATTTTTAATTGCAATCAATCGTTTATAAAAAAACTTTGAACAGCTTTTTTTATCTAAAATTGAATAAAATCTTTACAGATAGCCACGTAGTGGAGGTAGCTGAAAAAAGGTAGCTTTTGCTTAAAATGTATTTTGGCTGATTCTGCTTCTTTCTTTATTTCGTTACCAAAAAATAAAAAAAATCATGCATCAACCATTACATTAACCAAAAACATCCAACAGCTATTTTATTATTAACCCAATTCGTTGAGGAGATAATCGTGCCATGTAACCGAATAATAATACATAATTGCCCATGGCATATATTGTACTTTCATTATGCACGCATCGACGAATTGGATATCACGCATTTTTTAATCTCTATTATTTCATCATATTCTCTAGATCAATCTTTATACATACATACATACATACAATACATACATATTATACATCTCTGCCGAGCTTCATGATCCTGCTCTATTTACTGCAAAAATAATACAATTAATAATTACACCTGCTGCTGCTTCTTGTAATTCTTTTTTCCCCAAAGGCTAATGGTGCGCTTTTTTGCATTGGTTTTTTTCTCTTTTCTGCTTGCAGGACACAAAACTTCTTACGAGATAGTGAAACATCCCCAATTCAGCCAGGGGCATACACATAGCCAGAGCGTCGATTACGATCACGGAGGTGGCTACGAGGGCAGCCGGTGAACAGACTGAGAGAGACACTTCGAGAGGCCGTCCAAAGAGAGATAGAGAGGAAGGAAGAAAGAGAGAGAGAGAGAGAGAGATATAGTTAAAAGCGCGTAAAATCGATTTGGATTATAATTAATAATTTTTATGTTAATGTATAAAATAACAGAAAATAATTAGATAAAAGAAGGGGGACAGATTTGTATCTCTAATTAATTATTACTCTCATTTATTATTATTAGCCATGTCGACGAGGCGCACACACAAATCGACAGTACAAAGACTATGAATACTCGCGGATCGTGTATAATTATCTTTATTTTAGCGAAGTAGACTTGCAGATCGTATCACCGAAGTAATTATATACCGATACGTCACAGCGCCCCAGAAATAATTATTACATTATTTTTATATATTAAATATTTGTCATGACATTTTAATTGTTTAATTTCATCTTTTTTTTTGCTACAAAGTCATGATAGCATAGAATATCGGCGATACTTATCTGCATCAAAACTTCGAAATAATTTTTCGCGAAAATAGTTGAGTAATTGAAATTTATTTTGCTGCTTTCGTTCGGAATAAAAGACTCGTTAGAATATATCGCTACTATTCACAGTTCTTGTTTGTTTACATAATCATCTGTTGTATATTGTTACATAATTCATACCTTCATGAAGGATCGAATAGTTACAGTTTAATGTCGTAATTTCTTCATGAGTACGTAAATTGTTTAATTTTAGACTTTTATGAAACTCGCGTTATCGACTATTTCAAGTTTGAACTTCAAAATTGACTAGATATTTAAATCATGTATCATGTGTTATTTAGCAAAGTCGAAAATTTAAAATTCATCGATCTACATCTACGAAACAATTGTAATCAAAAATTTTATTTTTATACTATTAGTTTATCGTGATTTTAACGGGCTCACTTTTTATTTAATGTAAATATTTTTTATATAATCATTGTAATAGCTTAGAACTATTACATAATTTTTATGTTTGAATGGACGAATTTATTATATCATTTATATGTGTTACCGATTAATTAATAATAATTAAATTACCAAATTACCCTCATTTAATAAAATACATCAAAGATAATGAGAACCTAAAATGAAAATGTCAAAATCGATTGTTCTGAAACATTAATTTAATAATATGTAATTGAATAAAAATAAAATAAAAACATTTGAAGTTTTCTACTGTAAAATTATATATGGGACATTTTAACAGTACTTTGGGTATTCATTATCAGAAAATCTTGATTCAATCCTTATTACTGATCATTTAAACTCAAATGATGTTTGTACCTAAAAAATATCTTTATGAAGCAATTGATTATGGGATTTATGATAAGCTCTTACTTTCTACATAAATGTGTTCTGGATTATTAATTGCCTAAGTACGTGATTAATCATGTATTTCATTAGTAGGTGCAGTTATTTTTAAATAAATAAGAATTGATAAACCAAAATTTACGTAACTTTTTTTACCGTATAAATGTGTTTGAAAATTTTAGGTAAATAATAATTTTGTTATAAATTGAATTATAACTGTTCATTACTAATAGAAAATTTAATGGCTTACGTTTATTTAAAATTGTTGAAATTATAACGTGTTAGTAATCAATATTTGCCGTGTAATACTCAAAATTTACGGTGAAATTAGAAATTAAGTATGAAAATACTCATGTGTCAAACAAAGAGTTAAAAATCCCCATCTAATTTATCAACTTACCAAATGTGTTGTTCATAGGTTTACAACTGTTTTTGCTAAATAAACAATTCGAAACTGAGAAAAAGACCTTTATTAAAACCTTATTTCAATATATATTTTGATGCTTTTGGTTGTTTTTTATTTTATATATTTTGTACTTTATTTGAATGAAAAATACATGTACATGATCGACCACACGAATACAATACTTTGGATGTATTTGGTTAATGAGTGAGTGAGTGAGACATGAGTGATGCGAATGAAATTTTCTTTTATGAGATGGCATAAGTTTTAAAATAAAAAAAAAACTGATGAACAATGAAAATCCACGTACAACTATGCGACTTTCCATCATAATTTCACACCGGATGAAAGTATCATGGAAAAATTATTAAATACTAAAATACAGTACAACGAAGATTATAAAAATAAAGCGCGAGTCAACTTTGGATCGTAGTTGCAGTAGTGGTACTAGGTCAATTATTTGGTTTCAATGCGTATAGTTCAGCGGAAGAAACAAAAACGTCACGTTCGAAATTTTCTATACACGAGTCTCGTCGTTCGTCCTAATCCTATCAAACAAAAAAAAAAAACATCGCAGCCTCCGGTAAGAAATTGAGAAAGGGGAGAGATCATAATGCAATTATTAATACCGCGAAGCTACACGAGTGTTGTATTAATGCAAGGCGCTGCTGCTCGACTTTCCCAATTATGTAGCTCGGCCACCATGTACGCGAGAGAGAGTATAACCGTTGTTTCGTCCATTTTCACCCGAATTTTCCATGTTTTAATATCAAAGCACAAAGTAATCCGCGCGCTGCTGGCGCGAGTGCGACGATATTTTCAGTGCAAACGATCGCGATTACAAGTAAGAAATATATAATTATCGTCATTTAAATCATTAAAATTCACGCTTGAAGAATCATACGTCGTCGTCATAGTCATCATTCATTTTATATTATATAATAATAATCTTCACACGCGAAAAATGCTCGGACGTCTGGGTTGAACGTTTCGAGAAAATCACGTGATCGGAATGGCGTCGAGGGCTCGCTGCCAGCCGCCGTAGCCTCCGCCGTGATGCTCGCTCGCCGTGGCGTAGATGACCTCGTGTCCGCCGCCACCGCCGCCGCCCACCAGCTTTTTCAGGCCGATGATGGCGCTCAGCACCAGGGCGATCTTGGCCGTCAACAGGGCCGTGCCCGCCAGGAAGGCTATCTTGCCGAACGCCAGCTGCGCCATCATACCTAGCGTAGAGACAGAAAAAAAAGAGCAGCGCGTAAACAAAGAGGGCAAAAATTGGAGCATTGTTGTGTGTTTGTGTGTGTGCATACACACGTCGTAGAGTATATAGGTAGGTTAATGGTTTGGCCGATATGCCACTACTACTTTTTTCCTTCTTCTTCTTCATACCATATCAGGGTTAATGCGCGTATTACGCGCAAGCGCGCGTGAAGAAATGGGATATGTATGGTATTAACGGGCCAACAGCGAGCTAGTTCATATATAATCATCATTTGTTCATTCGCGTTGGGGATATAGATAAAGGCTGTATGCTCGATGCACAAAGATGAGGATCGTTTTGAAAGTGTTGTTGCTAGCTTCCGTGGCATTATCATTATTATTATCATTATTATGCGTGTACTCATTAAGCTCCGATCGTAACGTAATTACTTTATTTGAATAATGTAAGAATAATTTTTCAGAACCGAATAGCGATTGAAAACTTAGAAGGCAGCTGTCGACTTGTTAATTAATGACGGAGTACATTATCGCTTGTCACGGAGATGTGTAATTATAGCCTCGCGTGTGCGGCAACTTTTGTTGTTGCTCTTTTTTTTTTTTAAATAATGTAATAGACACAATGCATGATTTAAACCGTGTGTAAACTCTTCCGAGGTGTGTTTTTACCATATAATTGCCTTTTTTTTCTCAACTCTCTCGCGGGAAAGCAGGACCAATCGTTTTTCAAATATTTAACTGCGCGCGCGAGCGCGTGTGTCAGACTGTGTATGACACGGCGCATTTCACTCTCGGCACCGATGCAATTATTATATTATATTTACACGCGTTGAACGCGGTAAAATATCATAATTTCTCATGATCCAGTTTTGTCTATGCGAGAGAGAACGATGTGTTTCTCCAAAAGCGTTTCTTGTCGCTCGGCATTGTGTTTTATTTGCCCGCGCGCATGAGTGAGATTACAAAGGATTATAATGCAACCAGGATATACACTTGTTTTTGCCGCGCGTAAAACTAATGGTTAATTGGATGGAATGATTAAGCCCGATTTAGCGTTTAGCCGGATGAACTGTTATACTCGTTGACGTTGATTGTAACGGGTTACATGGCAATTATTCGACTGTGTATATTTGATGCCAATTACGCATATGTAATACGCTATCCTAACTTATTGGGCTTGCGAGATCGGATCGAAGCTACATTGAAATTTTATATCGACATTTGATATAGCTTACCTGCTAAAGCTAATCCTCCCATCATGATGCCACCCATTCCTCCTTTCTTGTCTTTCTTCCCTCTTCCTATTGAAAAAAAAATATCATGACAATGATAAAAATTATACATAATCAACCGCTAGCAAGTAACTCAATGCAATGCCTCAGAGGCCCTGACCTTCGAAAACGTCCCCGGGAATGGTGAGCTTGATGCTCCTCGACGTCACGTAATCGTTGAACTTCTTCTCCAGCATATCGTCCAAACTGCGTGACTGGCTCGTCGTCGCGTTCTCGAGTGACTGCTGCTCGAGCTTCTTCGCGGCGTTGGCGTCCTTCGTTATGGATATGTAGTCGTTCACCACGAGCGGCGAGTCATCCCTGATGGCTCCGTCCAGTATGTCCAAGCTCTTCTTCTTGAAGCAGTCGAAGGTGTTCTTCTCTTTGCTGCAGCGCTCGAAGAGCTTGACGTAGCCCTCGCCGGCGACCAAGCTCGCCAGAGCCATCAGGCCCAGGCCGACGAGCCAGAGCCTTCCCATGATCGCAGGCACTTGAATCAACGAACGAACGAAACGAGAACTACAACGAACAAACAACGGGGGTCGCGCGCACTTGTTTGAGATGACAGGCCGAGTGTGTGAGGATTCAACCAACTTCTGACCGACTGATCAAACACAGTTTCGTGGCCAGCACTCTTATATATACCTTCGTCGGCAACGACGACGACGAGTCTCTATGTGGAAAAACAGAGAAAAAGAAGAAGGGGTCTGTAGAGCAGTGCAGCAGCAGTAGCTGCATACGCGTGCGTGTGGCGGGCGCGCGGACTCCTCAAGCGCGGATACACAACACGCCTTTAGACCGGCTTAAAGCGAGCGCGAAGATATTAGCCGCGCAGCTAGAGCAGAGGTAGGCACAGGCAGGCAGGCAGGGGGGCATATTGTGTTGGCTCTCGTGCATTATATGGAGTGCGATCAGCGAGCCCCCTCGAGCATGCCTATTGCGGCGCGCGGGATAATTGTGTGCTGCTGCTGCCGCTGCTATATTAGCCCGAGCGAGGTGATGATATGTATATATATCTAGTACTACGATGCGCGAGCTCTGCGTATATACGTACGTACATATCCTCGTGACCCGCTTGCCAAACGAGCCAATCGCGAAGAAACAAGTGCAGCCGAGGCGGTGGCCTTGCGAGAGGTTTTTTTTTCTTGCAGGATTATAAAGTAAGAAAAAAAAAAGGAAGAGAAGCGGCTTTTGTGTTCCTCTAATCATAAAGATGCGCGCTCGGTATCACTATGGTACGCGTATAATTAGATATTTATGAGCTGCGTGTGTGTATGTGTATGCCGGTGGGGGTCAATGGTATCGAAAGCTCCAGTCGTACTCATATATGCATAAACACATTTCGCTGCAGCGAAAGAAATGGAAAATTCTTCTTTCGTCGTATTGCATACGCGTGTGTGCAAAAATAGAAAAAAAAAATTCTAGGAGGACTATAGGTAGGTTGTTGCTGCGAGGAAGAAAATAGCAAAGTGGATCAACTGCGTCGTAAACGACGTGTTCGGCGCACTCGCGCCGAGGCTTCGGCCTTTTTTTTCCTATTTTTAGAGAGAGAGAGAGAGAGAGAAACGCGCAGAAATAAAAATTATTACCTCCTAGCTGCAGCGCCGCGCATTTTTACATTTATATGTTCGCTATGTACTCGTATGTGTGTGTTTGGACGTATCGTAACAAGTATTTATGGACATACTTGCGAATATGCGCCCGATCATCGCGGAAAAAGCTCGCCTCGATCGACGAAATTTTCGCCCGAGCTCGAAAGTAGCAGTAGTAGTTATTGTATGTAGATCGAAATGTATCGTGATAAGACGTCGTTAGGCGCACTGTGTACTCGCTCGATCTGTCTACATACATAATAATAAGGTTTCATTTTTATACATTCGATACATGCGCGTTATAGACACGTAGACGCGCACCGGGCGATCTTTGGATTTTTCAGGCGAAATAGACCATGATAATCAGACCACGTATAAATATTTTTCTTTATTCCTCGATACAACATGTTTTATATACGTACGCGTGCTGATATTCTCTCCCTCCACTGCGGTAATTAAATTTATTCGTGCGAGTATCTGTTTGATTTAGCTCATTTTCTCCTTGTTTTCCCTTCGAGAGAGAGAGAAAAATCGACGTCACGCGCTCTCGAGTGTGTGTGTGTTTACGCGATCACGACTTTTTTCTCCATCGTCTTATAATTTAATTACGAGAAAATGAAAACAGGCGCAGGCATCACCCAAGAGAGCAGCGCGTGCGCGCGCGAAAAGATGTAAATGTTGTTCGAGCGCGAGAGACTCCGGATCTTCTCTCGTCGAGAACCGAACGGAGTATTAGGACTGTTATATTATAGCCTCGCGGTGTACACCTTGCGCGTAAGCATTTTTAACAGTTAATATTCGCAAGTAGTGCGCCTACTTTCAAATTTTATGCATCATATATTATTCATTAATTAGGAATAGACAGAGAAGAAGAAGAAGAAGAAGAAGGAAGAGCAGCTCGTCACTTTTCAGAGACGCCGCGCGCGTATTTACCCTACTAAAATTCGTAGCATATAAAGCGCGCGGGTATAAATCATCGACAATGCGTTTGCGAAATTTGCATATTTGCCGGCTAGCCGCAGAGCTCGTGACAAATTGCGCGTGTCTATCTCTCTCCTCTCCTCTGTGTCCGTCCGTCCGTTCGTTCGTTCGATGGGATCGTGTGCAACGTATTATACGATGCACACATATATCCCACAACAGAAATCTATTAAACTCATTTCGGGAAAAATAATGACTAACCTACATCGAGCTGGAGTTGAGAAAAAAACAACTACGCTACTGTCACATACAGCAGTACACAATAATAACTCGGCGCCCGATCTTAGATTGCAGAGTCGCGCGCGAGTCCAGTCCTTATGATACGTATACGTATGTCTGTCTCGCTTTTTTTTTAATCTGTGAGCAAGCGAAGATCAAGTGCAAGTTCGCGTCGCGTCAAGCGCACATCTGCACGCGCAGAGCCAGCTCTCGCCGCGCGGCCAAAAGGGGGATCCATGCACTTAACCCACTAAGTTCTCCGCGAAAATATGATACATGCGCGCGCTTTCAGCCTAGGCTTGAATTATGTCACTCGCTCGTGTAAATACTTCTCAGTTTTTTTTTCTCTTTGTTATAGTTATGCTGCTGCTGCTCTTTTCTACTCTCTTTCGTTTTGCCCAGTGAGAGAAAGAGAGAGAGAGAGGAACAAAGCTACGTGGAGTTTTACGCCGCGCGCGGCACGTGTAAGTAGAATTTCACGCTCCGGCGTGTAGATCTCGAGTGATCTCTGCCTTGCGCTAGGAAATACGTGTAATATACGCGCCGCATTTTCCGGTATGGCCGTTGATAATTTTCACTGAAAGGGATAGCTGCTGCTGCTGCTCCACTTGTCGTCGCCACGCTGAGGAGCAATTATTCACCGCGAGCGCGGATGATATATAGATAAGCTGCAGGAGGACGACGACGACGACGACGACGATGGGTAATGAAGAGAGAAAGTGTGTTATTGTTCGAAGCCGTATGTAGGTCTGATCTTGTTGCGCCAAGTTTTCGAATTACATTATCATTTATATACGCGAGCGTATCGAGCGAAAATTTGTCGGCGAGGCGCGAAATCGACATCAAAATCAAAGAATAATACAATTAATTAATGATTGATGTTAAAGATTCTTAAAATTGATAAAAAAAAGCTTAATTTTTGTCATCGCGAATATTGTGCAAAAACTCAAATGTTCTTTTTAAACTGCAAAGCAATTTTTTTTTAATACATTTATTTCGTTTTATTATCAAGTTTATCAGATGGTTTACCAGCTCAAATGGCTTCTAATGCACGATGCATTCGTAACTGTATTGTTGTTCGAGAACTATTTTGAGAAGTTACACCTATTTAATTTTTCCTTCAAACGACTTTCTGACATCTCAGCTAGGACTTTTGCTATCTCGATAAGCTGTTTTTCGTTCTTGGGTTGATAGTTGTTTTCGATCACTCGTGACAGCTTGTTTCTTTTTCTTTGTACACTGATCTTTGATGAGCCTTTATTTGTTGGTGTCCTATCGAATGGTCCTTCCAAGTAAATGCTGTGTGTCACACTTGGCACTCGCATAGTCTTTTTGACTTCTGTGAATTACAATAAGATGAAGTTTTAAGTAGTTTTTTGGGGTGAACGCTTTTTGAAACACGTTGCTTGTAATCGTTCAGTCGTTCCGTGAAATGACTGTTTATGTTGCTTCATATTGTTTTGCTGCGTGAATGTTTTCTGACATACGTCGCATAGTCTTCTGAAGACATTCTTAATTCTGAAGACATTCATCACAGTTACATTATTTTTCAGATGACTTCAGAATTTCGCTGTAATCTTTGTTATGCTCTAGAATGAGCTAGGAAGCTCCAATCAAAATGTTGAAACTGTCAAAATTTATTAAAATTTGACAGGGAATTCGAAAAAAATTTTTTCAAATTTTTTTACCGGAACTTCTGAGTTCCAGGAACCGTTTTTCATAAAAAAAGCGTTTTTTAGAGATAGATGCTATCGCCTTCAATTAAAAAATTTGGAAAAATTCAAAGTTGTTTGGATTGTTGAAAAGTATTTTTGTGAATTTTTTCAGATTTTTTAATTACTTCAAGCCTTCAGAATAAATATAGATAAAAAATGGACGTTTGTAGGGGTAGAGGGGGTAGGAAGGGGGAGTGGGTCTAAAATTTTGGTTTTGGGACCTTTATACCATGTACTATAACATACCAAAAGCGCGCCAAGATCGGTGACATACGAGCGCAGGTTTATTTAAAAAATTATGAGCCTTACCCCTGTATATTACGCGTTGAATGAATCTCGCGCTAAAATTCTGGCCTCCCCAACAAATCTGTGAAACCTATAACTAAAAAAAAAAAAAATAATTTTATTATATAAATACCTTCACATTATATAAAAACCTCCGTATGGAAATGGTTATAAATATACGATTATTAAGCCGATGTACTTCGGCGAATCTAATTAGTAGCTTCGAAGTGTGTAATGAAATTTTGTTGGATGAGATGATGAAATTTTCAGGAATTGTAATAGTAAAAAATTAAACTCGTTTCCTTAACACTTGGACTTAGCCCATAATGTCCAGCTTTAAACCAGTATTGGACGATAGTAGAAAGATCAAAGGTAGTAATGTTAAAAGTGCTGCAAGACTTGAACAAATATTTTTTCTTGAAAACCTTCTTCATTTATTTTTAGAAGGTAGTGCTTTTCGGGTACATTATGCAGCATTAAAAATAACTTTAGAAGGATCTCCTATTCAAGGAAGTGACGATCCAAGTACCGGTCAAATTAAAATTTGTTGCGACCGGACAATCACAGACAAAATTATCCCGCCAATTATCGATATAAAAGGTTTGCCGTACAATTAAATGGCAGCTTATTTCGTAGAAATTGGGAAGTATTACCAACGTAAACCAGACATATCTGAAACGAGTGAAG